TGGAGAGGACTATATAGGAGGAGAGAGACGGCATGGTGGTGTGGGTTGGTTGGAGAGTGCGTTGGAGAGTTCGCGGGGAAGTTCGTTACTTCGTTCTTTCTCATTTCTCTCTACTCATTCTTGCTTTGGGAGTTTGCTGTTTACTTATTCTTACTTTACTATAGAAAGGACTTGTAAAAAAAGGGAACAACAAGCGCCCGGTCCAGTGCGGCTCCTCCGCGTGCGGAGGAGCAGCAATAAAGGAGGAGAGAGACAACATGCACCAGGAACATCTAAGGGGAACATCCGGATAACATCTGAGCAGCCCCCGAGAGAGCCGGCCGGCGGTGTGCCGCTCCCCCACGGAAGTGGGGAAAGTGGCAGGGGGAACCGCCCTTCCACGGAGGTGGAAGGGTCGGTAGCCAACCCAGGAAGGACCAGCAGCAAACCCGGGGAGGGCCGAGCAGACAAAAGAACAGCGCAGGGTCTAGTGTCGTTCCTCCGCGAAGAGGGGGAGCGACATAATGGTGCCGTGACTCGGATAGGAAACCTAGGAGGGAAGAAGTGGGAAGAAGTGGGAAAATACCAGAGATAGAGACTAGCAAAGAGCCTAGGGAAAAGCCGGACGGAAAAAGTGCCGGAAGAAGTTAGGATTGAAAGCGAAAGTGAAAGCTGGAAGAAACATAGACTCGGATGCGGACTATGGCGGGGAAGCTAGGAGATTAAAAGCGAAAGTGAAAGCTAGAACAAACAGACTTGGATACGGACTGTGGGGAGAAGCCAGGAGAAATGAGAGGGGAATATTGTTGGAAGAAAAGTTAGGAAACATACCAGGTAGAGAAAAATATGTTAGGAGGATGAAGCCGCGGGGGCAGGCTGAGGCGGAGACGTAAGCTAGGTTTCGTCAAGTCAGCCCAGGGAGCAAAAGGCGAAAATCTAAAACCAGAGGCAGAGAGTAAGCCAGGTTGGAATCCATCAGATTAGCCTGGGGAGCAAAAGACGGGAAGCCAAACCGGGAGCGGAGACGCAAGCTAGGTTGGATTTCGCCAGGTTAGCCCGGGGAACTTAGACTGAAAACCAAGAAGCAGAAACGTGAGCTAGGCTGTGTGATTCGCGGAAGCCGCCATGCGCAGAGAGAGCGCGTGGGGCACGAGCAGGGAGAGCGCACGGGGTGCGAATAGATAGGGAACGCGGGGCTGGCGCAGAGGCTGTGGTGCGGGCGCGAAGGGCGCAGAGACTGCGGAGTGCGCGCGAAGCCGGGAAGCCGCACAGATAAGAGAAGCGGGCACCGGGAAGCCACGCAGAGCAGGGAAGCTGCCGCGGGGCGAAGCACCGAGAAGCCGCCTCGGGGCAGGCGCCGGGAAGCCGCGGGGATAAGAGAAACAGAAGTTTAGAAGTAAAATGAGAGAAATAGGAATGCTGGCAGATAGAAGTAAAACAGGAGAGATAGGAATGCCTGGAGGTAGAGAAATAGAGAAAAATAAGGCCTCCCCACAACACGGCAATGAGAGGGCTTGGATTCGGTCTGACTGATTAGGCGATAAGCACCAGCAGGCAGCTCGACCAGAGTATGAGCTGCAGGTCACCGAAGATAGGCACGAATCAACATCAATAAGTCTCCCCACAATACGGCAATGAGAAGGCTCAGATTCGGTTTGCCTGATTGGTAGGGCTTGTAAGCACCTGCAGGCAGTTCTAGCAGAGCATAGCATGCGCTGCAGGGCACCAAACACAGGCACGCATCAGTGCCTAAAAACCTCCTCACAACATGGTGAAGAGAGGACCCGGATTCGGTTTGCCTGATTGGTAGGGCTTGTAAGCACCTGTGAGCAACTCTAGCAAGCAGAGCAGAGTGTGTGCTGCGGGGCACCGAAGACAGGCGCGTATCAACGCCAAAAAATAAAAAGAAAGGGGGAACTGTGGGGAGCAACTCAGACTAGACTAAGTTACTCGAATTAAGACTTATTCTATGCATCTGCTCTCCCACAATATGGCGCTGGGAGAGGAGTAAAAACAACTTTTACACAGCTGCCTCCAGTTCAACCAGTAACCTGCAGGAGCTGATCCCACTCCTGATTGGAGGAGAGCAGCGTACTTGGCATGTGGGTAGCAGAGTTGGGATTGGCGGAGGAGGACTATAAAGGAGGAGAGAGACAACATGCACCAGGAACATCTAAGGGGAACATCCGGATAACACCTGAGCAGCCCCCGAGAGAGCCGGCCGGCGGTGTGCCGCTCCCCCACGGAAGTGGGGAAAGTGGCAGGGGGAACCGCCCTTCCACGGAGGTGGAAGGGTCGGTAGCCAACCCAGGAAGGACCAGCAGCAAACCTGGGGAGGGCCGAGCAGACAAAAGAACAGCACAGGGTCTAGTGTCGTTCCTCCACGAAGAGGGGGAGCGACAGAGTATCCCCACAAATGCCAAATAATAAATTCACCAATCCAAGAAACAAAAACAAGGAAGACAACATGACACCACCAAAAGAACACAGTACCTCAATACAAGATTGTGAAGATGATGAGACTGAAGAAATGCCAGAAATGGAATTCAAAAAATTGATGATAGGATTACTTGGAGTAATCAGAAGCAAATGCACGAACTAATGAAATCCATACATGACATGAGAGAAAATTTCTCCCACAAAATTGAGATCTTAAAAGAGAAATCAAAATAAAATCTTGGAAATGAAGACATCAACAGAACAAATAAAAATATAGTGGAGAGCCTTAACAAAAATATCAGTGAAGCAAAGGAAAGAATATCTGATTTAGAAGACAAAGCACAAAAAATTATACAGTCAGACCAAGCACAAGAAGAAGAAACTAGAAAACGAAAAAACACTGTTGGGAATCTACAGGATACTATCAAATGAGACAACATACAGGTTCTAGGAGTTCCTCAAGGTGTGGAAAGAGAGAAAGCATTAGAAGGCCTTTTTAGTGAAATAATAACAGAATATTTCCCTTATTTGGAGAAAGAACTGGTCAGCCAATACAGCAAGCACATAGACCTCCTAATGGACATGACCAGAAAAGATCTTTACCATGACACATTGTAAGCAAACACTCCACAGAAAAACATAAAGAAAAGATTCTAAAACATGCATAAGAGAAACACTATATTACTTTCAGAGGCTCTACAATTAGACTGAGAGAAATTATTTGCAAAAAATGTAACTGATAAAGGATTAATAACCAGAACATATGAAGAGATCAAGAAACACCACCACAACAAAACAATCCTGTTAAGAAATGGGCCAAGGATTTAAACAGACATTTTTCAAAAGAAGAAATCCAAATGGACAATAGATACATGAAAAATTTTTCAGGATCTCTAGCCATCAGGGAAATGCAAATCAAACCCAAAATGAGGTTTTACCTAACTCAATTAGAATGGCTTTCATACAGAAATCAACAAACAAATGCTGGCACGTATGTTTGGAAAAGGGTACCCTAATCCACTGTTGGTGGGAATGTAAACTGGTAAAACCACTATGGAAATAGGTTTGGAGATACCTCACAAATCAGAATATAGACCTACCATATGGCCCAGACATCCCATTCCTGGAAATTTAACCAAGAGAAATGAAATCAGCAAAAAAAAAAAAAAAATATCTGTATTCCCATGTTTAGTGCAACTCAATTCACAATAGATAAGACATAGAATCAACCTAAATGCCCATCAGCAGAAGACTGTATAGAAAAATTATGGGATATGTACTCTATGGAATACTACATAGTGGTAAAAAAAATGAAATCTGGTCATTCGTAACGAAGTGGATGAACCTGGAAAACATCATACTTCGTGAAAAAAGTTCCAAAGGGACAAATACTGTATGTTCTCCCTTATCTGTGATGACTAATAGAGCACCTAAAAGGCAACCTGTAGAAATGAAATTGACAGTTTGAGAAGCAAAGACTTTGAACAGCCCTTGTCTCAACTGTTGAGAAACAGTTTTTCTTTTTTCCTCTCTTACTACTTGTTGAACTCTTTTCTTAACATAGAGTTGATCATATGTGTATAAAGTTAATTGAAAATAGATCCTAGTAAAAAATAATAGTGGGAATGAGATAGGGAGAAGGAAAAGGGGTGGGAATGGGGGTGTGAGAGTGGGTAAGATGGGAAGAATCAATATATTCCCAAAGTTTTACTTATGAAATTTGTACTTATTAAATAAATGGTTTCTTTGGGGAAATAAAAAGAAAACCAGATAGTAATCTAAAATATGTATCAATATAACTGTTCCCATTAGAATTTTCTCAGTAAAATTAAATGTAAAATGCCTGGTATATTTTAAAATAAAAGCTTAATAATTTAATTGAATATTATCTTGATTTAACTCATATGTGTTAACATTCTTAAATTCCTTTAGATTTTTTATTTTTATTACATTAGATTAATATATATTTGCATTTAACTGAAAGCTCCTGAGACTGCCGGTTTTGTGTTGTTGTAGTTGTCATTTAGTTGCTATATCACATGCAATTAAAATCAGGATGTTAGTAATAGATATGTGAAGTGAGGTTTCTGTTTTGGTCCATGACCTAAAAATTTTCAAACAAATCTTTAAGATTTCATTGGAAATGATATGCAATTCCAGAGTAATCATTAGCTCCTAGATGCCTCCAGGGAATTATAAAAGACCTCATAAGTGGAATTGGGTCAAAATAATGCAAATTGGGAGAGTGCCACCATATATATGAAGCTTGTAAGAGAGACCTTTAGATGATAGAGAAAAGGTTATGTAACTCAGAAAAAAAGGAAAGATAAGAAATTTCATTTACAGACAAAATAAATAGCAGGGCTAAAACTGTATTGAAGGACTTCTGCTTCCAGATGGAGTAGATGTACCCTTCCGTATTCATCCTGCTAAGTTCAGCTATAAACCCTGGATGTCCTACATATAACTTAAGAACACTGCAAGGTGAACAGAAGAAAAAAGACTTGCTGGGAACCTTGGGACCTGAGAAACAACATGGTGTAAAAGTTCCTTGATTCTCTAGGTTTTCTTTTGCCTTACAGATGACAAATTTGGAGCTGAAGAACTGGAGACCCAGAAATGCCAAAAGGTACAGACAGAAAAAGTGCCATTTTAAGCCTCACCTCTCTATCCGAAGGACTATGAAAAGATAACCTAGGCAGATAGGAAACTTGAGACAATAATTTCTCACCTCAAGTCAAACACTAGAGATTGAGTAGGCAACGGAGTGGTAACAAGGATGCTACCTCTGTGGTTTAAGTGAAGATCATAGAGGGGGCCTCCCTTGTCCCAACCCCATCAGCCTAGAAGACTGGGACTGGAAGAGAATCAGAACTTTCACCACTGCCCAGAAGTGACAAAGCCACCATGGTTTTATAAAGAGAAGCCAAAGGAGAGCCAAAATCCCTGTCCCCTCTTTCAGTTACCAGAACCTCCTGCTACTCTGCGTATCAACAGAGGCAGAGTGGGAACCTGCACTTCTACTCCTACCTGATAGCAACAGGAAAAACAGTGCATGCACTTCCCACCAGAGCTGAGTAATAGGAAGTCATCTAAAACAGAGATTTAAAGAAATTTCAGTATCTCATAACATAAAGCCCAGAATGTTGGAGTAGTGGTTATGATGCCACTTGAGACTCCCATATCCTGGATCAAAGTTCCTGAGTTTGAATCAGTTTTGGCTCCACACTTGAGTCTCTCTTCCTGCTAATGTTAATTCTGAGAGGCAGCCAGTTTTCCAAATGTTCTCTCATGTCTCTCTCTCCTCCCCCTTTAAAAATAACTAATTTATTCAAATAAAAGACAAAAACATAATGTCCAGGTTGCTAACAAAAGAGATACATTACACAAACAACCAGAAATACTTCAAATTTAATGAAAATTAAGCTCCAGGGGTTTTGCAAACAGTGAAGTTAGAGGGAACAGAACCTACGTAAGACCAAGCTCTCTTTCTACAACACTGCATGGTTGATGGGGAAGGTACCAAAACACTTCCCTGGAAGGATTCACAGAACTCACTGAAAGTTGTTATACTCATGATTATGAATCAGTACAAGGAACAGATATAGATTAAAATCATCCAGTGGAATAAATGCATAAGGCAGAGTCCAAAAGATGTACCAAAGGCAGAGCTTCCAAATGTTCCTTTCCCAAGCATTACTTTCCTGGCAGCTATGTGTGATAACACACAGAAAACTGTCAACATAGGAAGCTTACACTTGAGTCTTTGGTATATAGAATTTTTATTTGTGTCTAATAGTCCTTATATGGCTGTTCTTTACTATCTCTAGCCCTTCCACCAGAACTGTTATCATGTGGCACCAAAGCCTCTGTATACATCACAAGGTTAAAATATGATTAATACCCAAACTCTCACACCTCCATCCTCACCCATTGCCTGCAAAGGCACAGCCATCTATCACTCTTGGCAAAGAGCCTAGAATTCTCTCTCAATAGGCCAGGTTAATTTTTAACTACACAGATGCTAAAGCTGAGAAGATGTTAGAATTATCTGACAAAGATTTTAATGCAGTCTCAATAAAAAAGACTATGATGAGCAGTTACAGACATGCTTAAAACAAACGAAAAAATAAAAGATATTAGAAATAACTAAATGGAGAATAAAAATAAAATGGATACACTGAATTGCAGAATAGAAGAGACAGAAGAAAGAATCCATGGAATGGAAATTAGAACAGAAATCATTGAATCTGAATAACACAGAGAAAAAAGCTGAGAAAGAAATGAAAAGATTCAGAGACTTGTGGGGTTGTAAAACTATATTTTAACCTTTGCATCTTTAGAGTACAGAAAACAGAAAGAAAGAGCACAGATTGGAAAAAGTGCTTCAAAAATTATGGTATAGAGGTTAAGATGCTGTCTGTGACACTGCATTCCATGTAGGTGCCAGTTCAAGCACTGGCTGCTCCACTTCTGATCTAGCTCCTTGCTAATGTGCCTAGGAAGGAGGCAGAAGATGGTCCAAGTGCTTGGGCCCCTACCACTCATGTGGGAGACCCAGATGGAGTTCCAGGCCCAGCCCTGGCCATTGCAGCCATTTGGGGAATGGCCATGCAGGCGGAAGATTCTCTCTCTTTCTCTCTCTCTCTCTCTCTCTCTCTCTCTCTCTCTCTCCCCATTTGTGTGTGTGTGTGTCTGTCTGTCTGTCTCTCTCTTTCCCTCTCTCTTTAACCCTACTTTTCAAATACATAAGTAGTTTTTTAAAAAAGAACAAAAAGTGTTAAAGAAAATTCTTAAAAAGAAAAGAAATAATGGCTGTAAGCTTTTCAAACTTGGAGAGACACAAATCTATGAATTCAAGTAACTGAACCCAGAGTAAACTCAAAGAGATCTATGCCAAAGCACAGCATAGTCAAACTCTAAAAACTAAGCATACACACACAAATCCTTGAAGTAATGAGAAATGTCATCTTTCCTATATAGGAAAACCAAATAACAGCATATTTCCTCATGAAGAATCAAATCATACAACATTTTTCTATTTAAAAATGTTTCCAAATATTTTAAATTTTCAAATCAAAAATTGTGAGAAAGTACAAGGAGTTCCCAAATATCCCACACCCAGCTTCCCCTATTGTTAACATCTTATATTAGTATATTTTGTCAGAATCAATAAACCAGACTCAGCTTTCTCTATCATTAACATCTCATTTTAGTATAATATATTTGTCATAATTAATGAACCACACTGAGATTCCCTGATTTTTTAATCCAAATTCCCTCTGACCCTTCCATGTAAGAAATATAGGAGAAAATCTTCAAGATCTAGGGCTAGGCAAAGAGTTCTTAGACCCAAAAGCATAATTTATAAGAGGAAAAATGGATACATTGGGCTTCATTAAAATTAAAGACTTTTGCTTAATAATCACACTGTTCAGAGCATTAGACCAATTCGATTGTGTGAGAAGAGATTTGCAAACACATATTTGACAAAGGACTAGTATCTAGAATACATAAAAAATTTCTCAAACCTCAATGGTAAAACAAAAACCCAATCCAATTAGAAAATGGAGAAAAGTCATAATGAGACATTTATGCTTATCATTTATGCAATGATAAACAAGTCTACCAAAAAATATTCAGCATTATGAGTCATTAGGAAAATGCTATTTAAAATCACAATTAGAATCAATATGCATTTTTCAGAAATGTTAAAATTAAAAATAGTGCAACACAGAATGCTGGTAAGGATATGTAGATACTAGATCACTTATACAGGACTCATGGAAATATAAAATAGAGCAGCCACTGTAGAACAGTCTGCCAGTTGCGTATAGCTAAATGTGCAACTAACATACCATTGTCCTCTGAGCATTTATCCTAGAAAAATGAAGACATATGTTCATAAAACATACATACATTATTGTTATAGGGGCTCTACAATAATAGTCCCAAACTGGCAGCAATTCAAATGTCTTCCAACAGGTGGATGGTTACGCAAACTGTGAATGCTCTTTAGCTATGGAAAAGGTCAAACAGATGATAGACATAGGACCCTGATGAATCTGCAGAGATATACGGTGAGTGAAAGAGCTAATCCCAAATGGTTGCACGCTGTGTGGGTCTACTTCTATATCATTCATGAAATGACAACATTTTTAGAAATGGAGAGCAGATTACTAGCTGCCTTATGTTATGAAAAAGTCAGATTAGAGGGAAATAGATATGGCTATAAATCAGAGTTAGATCTAAGAATCAAATTCATAGTGTTACATAGTGTGGTGGGGTGACTATGGTTCACAATAACCTATTATGTATTTTACAAGTAAATAAAAGAAAGCAGCTCTAAGGCTCCAATCATAAAGTAATGCCAATGGTGAAATATTGATTACCATGATTTTATAGGAACACATTTTATAGATATATTGAAATATCACACTTTACTCCACAAATATTACAATTACTGTTAATAAAGGAAATTTTTAAAAATACAGTATTCTGAAGGATGGTTGTGCTGATAGAAACATTCTGAATGCCAACTGTTTCTATGTTAATGCCCTGCTTGTGTTATTGTGCTAGTTTTGCAAGCTGTTACCATTGGGGAAAATGAAAATAAAATGACTAATTTTAAAAATTGGATTGACTTGTGAAAATATATAATATCTGATATGAATAAATATTAGTGAGTAAAAGCAAAATTGGTTTCCTTAGTAAAATTTATATTTACAAAATCCTCACATATTGCTAACATTGAGTAAGCTTTGGTGAGCCAGAAACTCATTTTGGTGTGACAGTTTGGTGAAATAAAACTCTTACACAGAACTTTAGAGATTTACATTTTATTCCAAAAAACAGGTTGGCAAAGCTGAACCCCTGCCCCCAAAAATCTTGCTATATAATGATCTTCACTAAGGAATAGTTCATAGCAGCTAAAAACCATTCTCTTCTATGAATTTAAAAGTGTTATACCTCACTTAAATTTCTTTTAAAGATTTTTATTTATTTAATTTACAGGCTGAGTTACAGACAGTGTGAGAGAGACAGATAGAAAGGTCTTCCTTCCGTTGGTTCACTCCCCAAATGGCCTCCACGGCCAGAGCTACAATGATCCAAAGCCAGGAGCCAGGAGCTTCCTTCCGCTCTCCCATGCGGGTGCAGGGGCCCAAGCACGTGGGCCATCCTCCACTACTATCCCAGGCCACAGCAGAGAGATGGACTGGAAGAGGGATAACCAGGACTAGAACTGGTGGCCATATGGGATGCCGACGCTGCAGGCGGTGGATTAACCCAGTGCACCAAGGCGCCGGCCCCCTCACTCAAATTCAAAACAAATAAAATACAGTGATTGAATCAAACTCGACATTAAAAAAGTACTTAAACAACCCCACTTAATAACGAATTATGTCAAGAAGCTTTAGAATGAAGGATTTCGACGATTAAGATTTAGTAAAATAGGGGCTGACGCTCCGGTGTAGTGGGTTAAGCCCCGACTTGTGGCACCCATATGAATGCTGGTTCATATCCCGGCTGCTTCTTTTTGCATCCAGCTCTCTGCTATGGCCTGGGAAAGTGGCCCAAATTCTTGGGCTCCTGCTCCCATGTGGGAGACCCAGAAGAAGCTCTTGGCTCCTGGCTTCAGCTTGGCCCAGCTCCGGC